TGTAATAGCTATCCTCTATCCTTCCAAGTAGCCCTCTCCATAGCTGTGTCAATAGGGTCTGACTGGACCCCCTCTGTTTAAAGGGATACTTCAGGATTTAGCATTAAGCTTTGAATCAGTAGAAAACCAGTAGTATTTTCGAATTACCGTGCTTCCCCCCCTCATATCTCCCTGATATGAGAGAAAAATAAATTTTTAGTCTGGAAAAAATCCTCCGATGACGCAAAAAATCATCATTTTGCGTCATCGGAGGATTTTTGTGCCAGAGGCTAAAGACTACAGCCAGTGTCCCGCATGTTTTCACCACGCCCATATGGGGCGGGATCTCACTCACAGAATGTAAAGAGAGTGTCAGCCATCTTTCTGTAGAAGCTAAGCTAACAGGCTCTTGCCTCTTGCTCTGTGTAAAAAGTTTGTATAGTAGGCTAATCACGTTGGCGGAAGTTAGTTTTGAAGTTGAAATGGCAGAAGGGGATTTCGAAGATCTGTTGCGAGAATCTGATGCGATGAACAGTTGCAGGAGATGGAGGAACAAAAGGCGGCCGGAGCGAGACCTGAGCCCGGCCAGACTCGAGCTGGGGCGGACTGGTGGTGTCAGTGCTCTCGCTGTGCGCCGATGGAAACAGATATATGCTGCGTCCCAATTCGCATACTATCCGTCCTAAATAGTATCCGAAAATAGAACTAGTAAGTCCCAAATCGTAGTATGTTGAAATGAGTGTCCCACAGAGACCCGGATGGTCTACTATATCCGGTCAGAATCCGAAGTGCAGATCGATGCGCACTCTAACGGCTGAAATTGCCCACAACCCATCGCGCGTTGGACGAGGATTCGGTTAGAACTACAAACACGAGTGAAAAGTGTTCAAAAACTACAGACATGGAGGACGCGCGAGTCCGACGGTTATGTAGAGAGGTTTAGATAAAGGGGTTTGAGTTATTAATTATCAGTATCTAACCTGACGAAAATGTATTTATTCAATTTTGTCCACATTATATTGCATCTGCAGCAGCATTGTGAACTTTTGCAAAGATACGTTTAGCCATTAACTTTTAAATGCATTATTATATTCAAATTCCAAACACACGAGGAGAGTCTCGGCATGAAAGACCCACGACTGGCAGATGAACGTGCGACAACAATTCTCTCCGAAATGGTAAGAAGTTATATTAGATTGAATGGAGGATTTTAACTGTGACGAGATGATTGACAGGGCAGTTTGCGGTGACAGGATGCACCGGGATGCACGCGACAGATCTGTCCGTTGAAGATGACGAAGTAGTATGTCCCAAAGCTTGCCTACTCTTTTGCTACACACTCAAAAGTATGTACTTTTTCTTCACAAAAAGAGTACATACTTTTAGGGCGTAGTATAAGTAGGCGGATTGGGACGCAGCAATAGAGTCCTATATCTTTGCCTCGATATATTGCCATATCACCCTGTAGCCCAAGACTGGTTGCCCACTGAAGCTAAGCAGGGCTGAGCCTGGTTAGTACCTGGATGGGAGACCTTCTGAGAAAACCAGGTTGCTGCTGGAAGAGGTGTTAGTGAGGCCAGCAGGAGGCGCTCACCCTGTGGTCTGTGTGGGTCCTAACGCCCCAGTATAGTGACGGGGACACTATACTGTCAAAGAGCACCGTCCTTCGGATGAGACGTTAAATCGAGGTCCTGACTCTGTGGTCACAAAAAATCCCAGGATGTCTTTCGAAAGAGTAGGGGTGTTACCCCGGCATCCTGGCCAAATTTGCCCAGTGGCCTCTGTCCATCATGGCCTCCTAATCATCCCCATATATACACTGATTGGCTTCATCACTGTCTCCTCTCCACCAGTAAGCTGGTGTGTGGTGAGCGTTCTGGCACAATATGGCTGCCGTCGCATCATCCAGGTGGAGCTGCACACTGGTGGTGGTTGAGGAGATCCCCCTTCCATGTGAAGCGCTTTGAGTGCCTAGAAAAGCGCTATATAAATGTAATGAATTATTATTATTTTATTATAATCTCAGCAATGTCATTTTCTTCTGGACGAGATCGCTGAATCCGCAGAGTTTTGAGTGTAAAGGTGTTATTATTATTTTTTTTCATTAAAAGTTATAACTCACATTGGCTGTGGTTCTTTTTAAAAACCTTTAGTGTTACTAGAGTATGGATTAGCCTAGATAATGTGTTAGCTTAGAGAAATAGTGATTTCAATTGGAAGAAAACAGTTCATATGCAGAGCTACTAAGCTACTCTGCTGACATGGTCCTGCCTTGCATCATATTTTTAATGTGAAAGTCTAAGCTGTGTTATATACATTAGGCTATCCCGGTACAACGCAATTTAGCACCATTTCGATGGAAATTTATCAAATAACTCACGATGTATCAAAGTAAGCCTAGTTGTATCCATTTTTCGGATTCTGCCGCCTGTAACCGGTAGGCGTGGTTTTGGAGTGGCCTCGTAAGGGCAGCAAAGCAAGTGCATTCTGGGAGTTGTTGTCTTAAAGCCACATGAGTAAAAAATACATTTTGTGCCTTTTCTCAGTCTAGAATGCTTCAATTTCAAAAATAATTTCACATTGCTACTATATACATGACCAATATTAAATACACATTCATCTTCCCAGAGGTGAAGTATCCCTTTAAATCTTTCTGCCATTTCATTAGCCTTAACGTTGTAGTCATCTTCCTTGTTGCAAATTCTTCTCAAGCTAATAAATTGCCCATAGGGGATGTTGTCAATGAGATGGTCAGGGTGGAAGCTAGTGGCATGTAATATGGTGTTTCTGTCAGTTTTCTTACGGTAGATGAAAATGTCCAATTTTCTTTCACCATTCACAGTGATTAATAAGTCTAAAAAATGGATAGTATGTAGACTGTATTCCATATTAAATCTCAAATTAGGGTAAGTGGCATTAATATTGTAGTGGCCGTTTGTCAACAAACAAAAGAGAATTAAACTTAAATCAAACCTTCCAAACGACAACTTCTAGCACTCTGGGCAGGTGATGTACGCAGGCAAGACATAAATCAAATTCAAGGCTGGATTCAGGGTTTGTGGCTGGTTTATTTGTTCCAACTGAGCAAGCAATACAGCATCTCTCGCGCTGGTAAAAAAAACCATGTGCCCATCACCCAGGTGCTACAGGTTACCTCCTACTTCCTACCTATATTTACCCTCACCTGTGCCCACTACTGCCCTCAGGTGTCTAAATCAAACATTGCAACTAACCAAAAATAAAGACTAAACATATAAATAAAAACACAATTAACTAAACAAACAAACAAACAAAGAAACATTACCAAATTATATTACTAATGTGAACAAAATCATAATAATAAATTAACAAAATTACCAATACTGAAAACAAACTAATGTAGCTCCAACAAATATAATCATTGAAAGACATAAGTTGACTTTCACTGCCAAAGAACCATATCCCACTCCCACGTCTGTCTGGGCGGGTGACTTTATAAGGTGTTTTGCTAATGGGACACATTTTGCTTAGGTCAAAAATACCTTATCCACACACACACACACTCACACACACTATAAAAAGAAACGTATCTATATTTTAAATTAAATGATAATAAAATATATAATTCAATGAATAATGAATAATTTATTTAAACAGTTTTAGTTAGTAAATAAGTTGTTAAATGAATAAATAAATATAAATATGAAAACACCTTAAATTTCCAGAGCGCTGAAAAACTCGTTTTTTATGCAATGGTAAAAACAATCCAAAAGCAAATAGTTTAAGTTGTCATAAACAAAGCAGCCCCAGATTCTTCAGTGATAAACTACAGTGTGAAATGAAGCTTCAGACCCTCACAGAGAGTTACAGACAGATGAGCCTCACAGTGTCACAGCATACAGTATGTAAAGTTAGTCTGCTTTCCAGCAGAGTGAGTTTTAGTCCTACTTAATTTATTTAAAAGCATAATCTTAAAAGTTTAAATTAGATCTTTTTTCTTTTCTTTTTTTAAAAGACTCTTTAAATCAAATCTTTAAAGTATTGTTAAAATCGTATCTTCTGTAAGACTGGAGAAACTGGAAGAACTGTAGGAGAGGGCAACTCTCTGAGAAAACAAAGGAAATTAACATTTGAATTTCTCTCTTGTACTATCATGCTGAGATCACCTGAAATTCACCCAAAAATCTATATGGGTTACTGTGAATAATTATCATACGGTATTACACATGTTGGATATCATTTGAAATGTCTCAGTGCGACTGGTGCAAAGGTCTCATTCTCAAAGAAGTAAACCAAAAGGTAATAAGGTATTTAAGAGTTTAGAGAAGGGTGTGTCTTCCAGGCAAATGGTCTCCTGCTCTCTCAGAAGGTGTTAACTGAAGGTGATTTTTTTACATCAGCCGCTAAAGGGCGCGTTCGGTCACTGCCAGCTTCTGCCTGTCAGCCGCGGTCAGCGAACAGGTCTCGGCCCCGTACAGCATGGCCGGTAGGATGGTGCTGTTGAACAGGTGGGCGCCAGGGGGGCGTCAGCCGTGTTGGTGAACACCTCTGCTATGGACACCCTGGGCCAGCCATTGCATGCTCACATAAATGTCTTACATGTGTTTACAACAATTAAATGGATAAACAGATGTATTTCAATCAGAAAGGCAGAGGTAGCTGGCTATCTTGTTTGCTAATGTGATGTTAACCTAAACCTTACCTTCAACATAGGTGATTTAGACCTCTACTCAGTTGCTGTGCCCTTTCAGCACATGAGTTTCAACATCCTTCCTTGGCCCACATCTAAGCTTGTAAATCACAGTAGCAGCAGGTCTAACACAGGGCTTGTGTTCTTGCAGTCTTTGTCTTCGTGCTCTACTTATATACTACCACCCATGACGCTTACTAACTGAACCAAAAATTTAAAAAGATTCCAGTCACTCACTGAGATAGATGTTTAATAGACATAAGTAAATATTTTATTACGTTCATCACGCTTTTTAAAACGGCAAAGAACATTCTATAATAACTTTTCATTTATGCAAATAAAATTAATGTGGTAGTTTTAATGCAGTAATTTTTTAATGTTAAATAAGTACAGATTTTCAGTTCCTTAAACCAAAGAACAGCAGAGCAACAAACAAGCTTTATTCAGATTGTGTCTCATATTGAGTTTGTTTGATGGTCTTTGCTGTAGAATCTGAAGTTCAGCTGAACTCACTGAAACAGGAAGTAGAAGAGCAGAGGAGACACCAGCAAGAGGAAGCTTCCCTTGTACACTCCATCTAATCAAGACAGGAAGGACATTAGTATAACACTCCACTGATAATACATATAATAATAATTATAGTTATGAAAACTGCATGTTCATTGTTGATCAATTTGTCACATTTTTTTAAAAACAATAAAAACTCTGAAAGTGCTAGACTAATTCATAAGCTTCTCCTTATTGCTACATTTATAGCTTCCCACTATTTTTGACTACTTTTGATATTGTGCTGCTTATTAACAATCACTTGTTCATATTGAACATGGGCGTCGGAACCATTGAATATGGGTGGGACAATTAAGACCCACTCACTTTTTAAGACCAATGATATTGGACCCACTCATTTGACCATCTCTAATTCAGCGCATATGTCTGTTCACTTTTCAGAGCGCCGTCAGTCAAATCCATTCCACTTGAGGAATGCCCTAATAAATGAATCCGTGTTTTAGCTACAGAATTGCTTTCCATGCTGGTGCTCAAACACTTTACAATAAGGTCTCGTTTGATAACATTAGTTAAAGCATTAACTAACAGTGATCAATACATTTGTTACTGTATTTATTAATGCTGGGCTTGTCCTATAATTTTCAGTTTTTATTACATTTTTAATGATGTCTTTTAATTTTCCTCATAACAGCTCTGATGGAAGTCACAAAAACAGAGAGTGACACCACGATGTCTATGGCAAGTAGAAGACTATTCAGAACACGTCCCACTCTCCGTGAAAAGAAGGGTGATATATGCGTCAGCACGGAAAGAACAACAAGAAGACACCCACAACAGATGATTTGGCATGTCTCTACACATTTTGTTCACCATACTAGTGATGAGTTTGGAGATGAGTATTCTGTACATAAAGTGGTAAAAAAAAAATATTCCACAAACAAAGCACTCATGTTGCTTCATTGTAGCTCAGGTGAGTCTAATCCTTTATCAGTCCCGTGGAGTTTTTTTTTTTTTTCAATGTTCAAAGTGATCAACTTTATTGTTTTTTTGTCACAACAAAAAAACTTTTCTTCTAACAACACTCAGTAAGTGTTTTAGAAGTGACTGACACTAATTGTTGAAGTTAAAGTTTCTTTCTTATTGATAAATTACCTTCAGTACTCAACAGTCTGTGGTCTCTGTTGTTGTATTTTTCTCCTCATAATGCACCACACATTTTCAATAGGAGACAGGTCTGACTGCAGGTCTAGTACCTGAACTCTTTTACTATGAAGCCTCTGTTGTAACATGTGCAGAATGAATCTTGGCATTGTGTTGCTGAAATAAGCAGGGATGTCTCTTAAAAAGAGCTTGATGGCAGCATTATGCTAAATGTATTGTTTTCTCATGCTATAGCCAGACAAAAGTGTCAAAAACACAGAAATAAAAACGGACACTTCCAGTTCTTGATTATTATTGGCTGAGCTGTGTTCGATGCCATTGTAATATACTTTGTAACCACAGTAAAATGAGACGACGCGCCGCCAGCAGAGTTGCAGTGGGAAAAAAACTCACAGTTCGAGCGTCAAATACGCACGAGGACAGCGAGGATCAGCTTCAAGAGAGACTGACACAAAGACATCTATCATGTAGCTTATCACATCATACGAAGTTTAAAACATTCAAATATACATATCAAGTAGTAAATAATGTATATGAATCTTAGTTGATTATAGGCTATCAGAGCTGGTTTGGTTGCTGAGAGACGGAGACGCGCAGAGACGGAAATTACAATGTTTGGTTTGTGATCGTGCTGTGCTTATTCCACTCATTCAAGTATCATATTGTACAAGGCTTAAATCATTTAAATATACACACAATAATATACAATATCATATCGTAGAACATGTATGTAGTATTTGAGTTGATATTACTCTTGCCAAGCTCTGATTTCTGAGAGATGGCTCATTTAATTTTTACTCTCATTTATTACATAGAGATTTTAGATAAGGTATTTGGCTTCGGGAACACCCCTAATCTACTCCAGTAAAACAATTCTATTGAATTATTGTTTGTATAATTTACTAATTTTAAGTTACTTTGGATGAAATCAAACTGCTAGCGCATGATCAAACAAAGGCCAATACCTGCAGCATTGCAAAGATCAGTGTTACAGCAGCTCGTAGCCACTGTCACTCCTGCTTGCGTTACAGTCCCTGCTACACATTGAGCTGCGCACCCTTTAGTTATGAGGGAACCTGTAGAAAAGACATACATGTCCATATAATAAGAGAATAAAACAATTCCAAGATTAGCAGTTAACAAGTGGAAACTTTCTCTCTAGTGGTATCACTTATACAGCAGATTTCCACATTATACTGGACTTACCAACTGTAGAGCTGTAACATTTAGAATCTCCATCTGCACATGTCACATTTCCTCCACAGGAACTCGTCGAAGCAGATGTGCAGGAGTAACACTTGAGAGAATAACCTTACAGACAGAGAGAGACATTGAGATAGCGCTCTAAAGTATGATTAGCAAATAATACATTTCAATACTTGCTGTTTTCTGTACCTCCAGTGAGAGAAATGAAAAGAAGAACGATGGAGACCTGCAGATTCATCTTGTGTCAGGAGCTGAATGACTATACAGAAGTAATGCTTCAGTTTCTTTTATGTCTGTTCAGAAAGGGTTGGGTTTAGGACTCTTTGTGACGTCCCCAAGAAACTACAGTTAAGGTAATCTGAAATTTAAGCAGGATGGGCATGGGCGTAGGCACGGGTGTGCCGGTGACGCCCACAGTGGCACACCTGAAAATAGATGCACAGAGGCACAAACACAGGGTATGCAGTGCATAGGGACGCAGGAGGGGGGCACCATTGTGTCCAAATAAGTCTTTGGAAATCTCCTTTAATAAAACTTTATAAATAATCCAACATTGTTTGTTTAAAAATTATGAAAGGAAACATTTTTATTTATCTTTTGTTTAGCACTTTAACTGATTATTTTATTATATCAATATCAACCTCTCACCCTCCGACTTCTTGAAGTCCGTCCAATGACCTGGATAGTCAAATAATCACACATTTGTATTTATCTGTTTAAAGTTCATTTACCCCTTCACTATTTTTCTGTTACTGTCTTTGGGACAGTTCAAACAAATATGGAAATTCAGTAATTATTTACCCACTGCGCTTTCATGCATTTTTTTTTTAAAAGAGGATTCTTTAAAAATCTTGGCCTCGCCGTTGCTACATACACGCGAGCGCACAGTTTTTGCATGAACGTTAGAGGCAAATTATAGGCCCATATACCCAAGTCAATGTATTATTCTTTTCATTTTGTATTAGTATTTAAAGATATTTAATTTACAACTAATTTAATCATTTATATCTTGATGCATTTTATTTATAATAATTGTTTTAGTCCTTGGGTATGGCAAGGTGGCTTATAAGCACTGCAAATATCCAGTTAAAAAAAAATATACAGATTCAAGTTTTCAAGATGAAAAAGAAATTCGGAACTTCAAATTCAGTTTTCTAAAATTCAAAACACGGAAAATTCAGATCGTAGGTCATGGGTCATCCACAGGGAAGAGTAAAGGATCTCAGAAAAGTCGAATAGAGAATTTTGTACAGTCACAGACCCCTGAGTGAGGCGTCAAATCGACCGGCTCATTGAGGAGAAGTGTGCTATATCTTTTTTAAGCGATCGGGGGTACGGTGTTCGCCCCAGGGGCAAAAAATCCCATACTCTTAACATTGCGACGAACTTTGACCACTCGTAGCTCTGAGCAAGGATTTCGCAGAAACGTGTGAGTCATCACATTTGTAGAGGCTGGCAGGCTCTGTAAGAACTTTCTGGGGGCTGTTACACATGCTAGCAGTGAATAGCTACATGCTTATAGCGATTAGTTAAGTGCTAAATCATGCCAAGAACATGCTAAGAACTCTATAAAAACTCTATAGTAACCATCTGTGACAACTACCAACCAGAACACCCTAGCAACCGCCTAGCAACCGACCAGAACACCCTAGCAACACCCCAGCAACCACCCAGAATACCTTAGCAATTGCCTAGAAACCACCCAGAGTACCATAGCAACCACCTAGCAAACCATAGCAACCACCCAGAATACCTTAGCCACCGCCTAGCAACACCATAGCAACCAGCCAGAACACCCTAGCAACCACATAGCAACACCATAGCAACCACCCAGAATACCTTAGCAACCACCCAAAACACCATGGCAACCACCTAGCAAGCTCTAGCAACCACACAGGATACCCTAGCAACCACCTAGCAACACCATACCAACCCACTAGAAACACTTCTTTATTTCTAACTAATATTTCTTTTTCTTTTTAACTAATTCTTTTTATTTTTATTTCTTTCTTCGCAATCTTTCTTTCTTTCTTACTAATCTTTCTTTCTTACGAATCTTTCTTTCTAACTAATCTTTCTTTCTTTCTAACGAATCTTTTTTTCTTTCTTTTCTTTCTATCATTTTTCTTTCTAACTAATCTTGATGATCTATCTATCCATCCATCCATCCATCCATGGTCATAAAACATGCTAAATTATGTAGTAAACCATGTTTAATCATGCTAGGTTTGTGGTAAACCATACTAGAAACATGGTAAATCATGTCAAACCATGCTAGAACATTTTAAAAAAAAATTAAACTTTCTGGCTCGGCGTTTTCAAGCCAAATGAAAGTTTGCCAACAAACTGTTTTATCTAGATTTAGTTTGTTATTTTGGCTAGGAACTGAAGGAGTTCAGTTATTGAACGAGTCCAGGTATTAGTGAAGAAGTTTTTTTTTTTTTTCTTAGATGATTGGGGTTCATTTTAAATGCATACACATAGACGTTAAAAGACACATAATATGCAGGGACATAACATGGGTTGGGGTTATTTTGTTTTCCTTTGTGTTTTTCCTTTCTGTTTTTTCCTTATGTTTCCATTTTCTCTTTATTTTGTTTATTTTGTTGTCTATCGTATGTTTTTTCTTTGGTCTGCTTTTCCTTTTCGTCACTATCGCTTCATTAGGTGGCCACTGGTGGAGTGACGGTGTGGAACTGACTGCCGTAGTTCCAGTGGAGGGACTGGAGACTAAAATTTTATTGTTTAATTTTATTTTTTAGTATTATTTTTCTTTATTCATTTTTATAATAATTTGTATAATGTATTTTGTGAAGTCAGAGTGTGTTGTACATGTGTGCTGAGGAGAGACTTGGGATGAGCTAAAGTTTGCATAGAAGTATGCATGCAATGCAAAATATGTTCACTGATGCAAAGGTTTTCCAATGACAATGTGTACATCAACAGTTGTCTATTCTTTACAAGGAAAAGGAACATTTCCACTGATGCAAATGTACCACAAATGAATACACTGAAGGACAGTTTTCCTAATATGGGAAGGGGATTGTGCCATGTGTAAGCATGAGGTATACGTTCCATTTTAAACATAATTAACATGTTTTGCTACTTTACAAGGAAGTTGTAAGTCCCTCAATGGTGCTCAATCCTTATAGTGTAGCACCCGAGAGAAACACATACAGGTGGCATGAGGGGGTGAGAGGAAGGAGACAGGAGAGAAGACAGAGAAATGGGGAACTGAGAAATCTGGAATGAAGACCACCTCGCCTGTCATCTTGTAGTTTCTTTCTTGTGTGAAATCACTTCTCAGAGATCTTTGATGCCAGAATCAATAGTCTTTATTTTACAATAAAGCAACAACTCAGCTCACACACATATATTCAATACATTCTTTTCCAAAAATGGTAACACAGCCTATAGATATTCTTAGGTGGAGGCCATGTGACACACTAGAATACTGGATTTTTTACATGTCAAGTCAGAGTCAAAAAAGTTATTAGAATGAAATGATAAAAGTTATGAAAATACAGAGTTACCAGTCTGAGTCATTCCAGACCTGCCGACCTTGAAATTATTTTGTAAGTACAATCAGTAGGATGGGATGGGATGGGATGGGTGGGGTGTGTGTCTTGCATTCTCATTTTTTGAGAGTGCAAGACACACACAAACACATGCCTGTATTCATAATTCTAGTTTTGACTTCTAAAGTTTTTTTTAATTCAACCCAAATCCAAAATTTAAATTACACTGCACTGCAATATACAGTGGAAGTCCAAAGTTTCAATACTACTCAAAACCAAATTTTTTTATTTATTAATGCTTAATATTGCATTGCATATAATGTGTGCTGGTCAACCAGTCTAAAATTAAGAAACCACTAGAAAACAGTAAAAAAAAACAAAAAACATATGAACATTGTGTGTACATTTAAGATAGGCTACTTAATTTATTATTCCATTTCCAAATATATGTTACTAAATCTCACAGAAAAAGGGCTTTTATTTGTGACATGCTGTCTTTGCATTTGAACATTGCACATTTTAAACAGGACACGCATTAGCTGAATAAACGTTAGCCAATACAAACATATTTATAGAAATAGTTGACAATGAATAGACAGGAGTCCAATAATAGTGAAACGAATCACTTATTCTAAAAAGAATATCAAGTATAAGTTAGACGAATCTGACATATAGGGCTGTGTTAACAGTAAAAACGTACGTCATTTAACGAATTTTAAAACCATGGATGGATAATACAAAATGCTTTCTGACATTTTGACATAAAAAAACACAAGCAAGAACAAAATTTAAACTTAGTCAATTTTTATTTTACAATTATCTTCTCTCTCTGTGCGTGCGGTCTGTGTTTGTGATAGAGAGCTCGCGCAGCACTGATACAACGGTACTTTTTAATCCATAAGTAACTAACATGCTAGTTTTCATACAAAATGAATATGTAACATAATTACTTACTTTAGTTATTATTAACACAATAATGTAACACATGCAGGCTATAGGCCCATATACCCAAGTCAATGTATTATTCTTTTCATTTTGTATTAGTATTTAAAGATATTTAATTTACAACTAATTTAATCATTTATATCTTGATGCATTTTATTTATAATAATTGTTTTAGTCCTTGGGTATGGCAAGGTGGCTTATAAGCACTGCAAATATCCAGTTAAAAAAAAATATACAGATTCAAGTTTTCAAGATGAAAAAGAAATTCGGAACTTCAAATTCAGTTTTCTAAAATTCAAAACACGGAAAATTCAGATCGTAGGTCATGGGTCATCCACAGGGAAGA